GTTATATCGAGGGGTACCTACAAAAACGATTGTACAAAAAGAAAATCTTGCACCAAATAACTATTCATCGGCACCCAATACCCATCACGACAGTTGAACACGACACATGTGTAACTCGTCAGCAAACGTTTTCGCTAACTAGATAACAACTAACAAGTCGAGTTCAACTAACTTATCCTCTACCCAAAACGACAAACAACAGCGCTAACACGTACCTGAACGTGTCGTCGTTCCATGTTTTCGTGGTCAAAAGCGGCCGTGTCGTCGTCGTCGACGCCGATGCCGATTCCGCCGCTGTCGATGCCGTTGCCGCCGCCGCCGACGCCACCGTTGTACTCGCCACAATTGTTGTGTTGCGCCGCCGATTGACAAACGGCCGCTTGCGGAACGTTCGCACCGTCGGTCGCGTTCATCGCAACGGTAATGCTCATGGTTCTCTTAATTTGTAGCAAAAAAAAAAAATTACTGTATCTAGTTACACAGGTGCCCGACGAGCGTCTCGGGACCAAATTGCGCGAACAATCAGAATTGTTCACATTTCTTATCACTATTTGTGAAAATCACATTTCTTATCATTCTTTATAAAAATTATAATGTGATAACTGATAATATAATAATCATCAATCGACAATCATACAGGTTAATGATGGGTACTTTCAATTCATTTTAGTGAACTTATTCATGTGATTCAGCTCATTAAAATGTCATTATTATCTTCTATTTATATCTTTATATATATAATTCTACTGTACGTGTGTTTGTAAGTGAACTCCTCCTAAACGGCTGGACCGATTTTGATGAAATTTTTTGTGTGTGCTTGAGTAGTTGAGTGGGCCTTTGAATGGTTTGGATTCACAATCGGACCGGTAGGCCCATTCCAGGGAAGTGCTCAAGCAGGAATGTTGAGATTTACGGTGGATATTTTTGCTTATAAATGGTTGCCATGGGTTTTAAAGCTATTATAAAAATAAATATTGGTTGAAATCAGAAATAATTTATAAACAACGTTAATATAATTAAAACCAAAGAAAATTTTAAAGTTTAAGTCATGTAGATTTGGTACATTTTAAGGGTAACAAAGTACACAGGATCAGCTAGTTTACATATAAAATCAAATTGACAAACGTAAAGTATAATTTTAAATGAAAGATGAATCACTTTCACTGTATTATTTATGTGTTAATATGTTATATTTATTTACATTGAAAATACAAAACATAAAATGTTTAATATGTTGTGGTTTTTTCCCTTTAATTATATTTAATAGTTATTACACCAATAATGATTATTTATTTATTTTTTATTATTTATAAAATCATAAAACCAAACAACAGTATGATTTGTTGAGTACTAAAATGAGATTGGAGACAGAATAGTTTTTTGTAAATTTATTTGGAAAATATTCAATACCAGTTTTGCAACAATTGTTTATATTTTTCATTTACTAAATTATTATAGTTAGTACTATAGTACTATAATATACTATTTATCTGTAAAAATGTGCTTCTATTTTTTTATTTATTATCTATGATAACAAACGTGATTTTCACAAATAGTGATAACAAATGTGAACGATTCTGATTGGTCGCGCAATTTGGTCCCGAGACGCTCGTGGTGCCCGTGTACTTACGCGGACTTATCAGTGTGTTTATTCGGGAGATGGTAAACTGCGGCAAAATCAACCTTTTTCTAAAAGTTGATATGTAAACTGCGGCAAAAAAAAATTTTACATTATACAAACTGCGACAAAACCGATAAGATACATTATACAAACTGCGGAAATTTGTTTTATATACCTTCTATATGTACCTTTATACATATCCTGTACCTTTATACATATCGATACGATAACCTATATGTTATACGTTTATCGTTTAATTAGCTATAATACGTATTATGACAGCTATAATGCGTATTTTATCCGTTACTTAACTTCATGATCGATAAAGTTTGTAGCTTGTACCCTATCTTGTAACATGAACATTACCTATAATATTATACTCGATAGAACTTCTAGACACTCATAGAGTATTAGGCGAAAAATAGAGGAAAAACCAATTTTAAAATTGAAAAATATTATTATTATTAAAAATTATTTTAAGAGATCGTAATGTACGTATAATCAAAAATCAATTATTATTACTAAAAATTATTAAGATCGTATAGTGATCGTAAAATCAAAAAAACATTTTTTTTAAATAAAATAATAATACAATAGGTAGGTACCTAATTAACATTTAGTCGTTTATTCTTAAAACATACTTTTTTCAAAAATTCATATCTTGAAATTCGTCCATCTTCTTTCATTTGCCTCTGTTCGTTAATTAATTTGTATTTTTGCGTTGTCGCTTTAATTCTTTTTTGTATTACCCTTTCTTCTACAATTTTAATTTTTATATAATATGTGTCAACTTGAATATCTTGTAGAGCATCTATAAATTTATATAGTGATGGATGATGGTGATAAAAATATGCGTTAAATTTTGAATGGAAAGATTCACATATTTATGTTTATATTTCACATACATATTTGTTATAACTTCTGATTTCGAAGCCCACAAAGAAGGAGGGAGTATGTCTTGCATATAAGTTTCTGTTAAATAATCTCAAAATTGTACTATTATTAGATGACATATCTGCAATTAAATCAAAAACAAACGAATCTTCGACTTCACGAGGTTCAAGACCAAAAATATAATTTAAACATTTTCCTTCATCTATATCTCCTTCAATATAAAGTTTAGACAGGCCCAAATTTTGTAATTTTCTAAACCACGCTTGGCCGAGATGACAATTACAACCACGAATAATACTGGTTGGCCATATACTGCGGACTGCTTCGTGTATTCCAATTTCAAAACGATGAAGTTACACAAACTCTTAAAAAATTAGGTCACAAATCATTTGGAAAATGTGTTATGAAGTGGAGAGGCTATAACTAAATACGTCATAATTACGTATTCATTCCTGTGTAAATATTATCATTGATTGCAAATACTATAGTACTTGTCAGGCAACCAGACGCTAAATCATACGCCACGCAATGTTTGGCGATTGGCGAGTAGGTTCCTAAGCCAGTATTTTATGTCATTATAAATTATTATAATTACAGGGATTAAAACTGATATTCGATACAGATTTTGAATACCAGTTAAAACCGTTAAAAACCGAAACCGAAATCGAAAAAAGTCAATACCGGTATCCGAAACCGAAACCGAAATCGGAAAAAATCGATACCGGTATCCAAAACCGAAACCGAAATCGAAAAAAGTCAATACCGGTATCCGAAACCGAAACCGAAATCGGAAACATTTTTTTCGGTTTCAAGCCCTGATTTTTAACACGAAAATAAATACATTTATTAATATCAAAGTTATTGTTTTATTTTATAGACATTCAAAATATTTTTTATATAAATTCTAATCATTTTTTTACTGTGTCAAAATTTTGAAAATTTAACCTAAACTAAGTTGTAAAATAGCAGTTCAAAAATATTAAAGGTATCCATATACTGCAAATGCGGTCAATGTTGTGCATTATCTAGATAAAAATATTTATCTTTATAATATCTTATCTAGAAAAATAAAACTGTGATCTGATTAGGTATCTACAGATAATTAGATAATATTTTTATTAATTTCACTTGATTTTTTACATTTTTCAATTACTTTTAATACTTATTAGAAATTTAAAACAATGCCATATGCCTCAATTTTTTTTATTTATTTTAGCTAAACACCAAAGATGGCTTAAGTACAGCATAATATATATATATAACAACATAACAATAATAATAAAATACAATAATATAACATACATTACATCACACGAACAATATTTAATTAAATTAATTATATAATAAATTAACACAATAACCGATTTTTTTGCGTGTATTAATACATAATACATAACACATAATAGAATATAAATAAATAAAGAATTTTAAATATAAAGACTAAAGAATCACAAATGCTCAAAATTGTATGTACTTATATCAAAATACGTTGAGTGCCATGAAACCCAAAATTATGTCTCACCAAACTTTGGCCTCACCGCCACGGTTTTTTCATAGGTTTACTAAAATACAGTTTTGTCAATTTAAACAAATATTGATTAAAAAAAAACTAATTATCATATTTGCAAACTTGTAACACCTACTGAAAGTGGCAACACAGTAGATTTTAAATCGGACGAGAAAGTACTGATTATTCATACCCAGAAAGTTGTATCAGCTGAAAATTATTTTAGTGACACCCAAAAATGGGTCTCAAAAACCAACTTATAGTAATATGTTGAGACTAAGAATTGGGTCTCGTTAGCCATATTTTGTGTAAAACACCTTGGCGCTCAACGTGTTAACGCTGTATGAACTTTGCTTAAAATGTCCGGTAATGGTGTGAATGTTTTTCTACAAGTACGATAAACGCTTCGTCGTATAAAATGCACATTGTTTAATCTCAAATCCAAAGCACTTGATTACAGTTCATTGCGAATTAATTTTAGTGATCGTATTGTAACTTGTTCAGTTTCTTTTATTTTTAACGAATTAGCACCAGCTTGTTTGTTAATATTTACAGTAGCTTCGTAATTATGATTTAAGTTAGATTTTATAAGAACCGTTTCACTTTCATCAGATAAGAAATGAAACGATTTAACTGTATACCTCCACTTAAATCCATTTTTTGATTTAGTACATTTTCAAAACTTAAAATCATCGAGAAGTAAGAACGGATACTGCAAACTCGTACTCTAACCGTAAAATATAAGTAACGCAATTTGTACACTGACCTTAAAACATATTGTGCCCATAATTAGTACACTGACCCTAAAAAAAAACTTTGTTTTAGTCGCAAATTGTTCCACGCCCGACTAATATTAATATATTATTATGATATTCAATTTTGTAACTATAAGGATTTGATTCAGTATTTTTATGACTGCAACACTACAATCGAAAAAAAAACTAGGTAATATATTATAGATATATAGGTAACATGCACTTAATCGTATTTTGTGGTATATATTTTTAGAAAGAAGGATTTGGTGTCATTGTTGAATTTCAACATCATTGGATGATCTTTCATCTGTATCAATGTGATTATTCCACTAATCAACAATACGAGTATCTGTGAACACACAAAATAATAAATACTAAGTAGGCACCAAGTACTATGTATATATGTTACTTTAAATGATGTTATATCTGTAAATAACGTTATTCACCGGTTATTAAAGTTATTTTGATTATACAATAATGCAAAACGAGTAATGATAAGGTGATTGCTAAACTAATTGTGATACTAATTGGGTAAATCAATAAAACTATATCGGACACAGATAAGGCGTGACTTTACTAATATAACATTAGTTGTTACATTTGAACATAATATCATACCTAACGAAAAATCATATAGTTGATTATACTTTAGTATTTGAACAACTGTCGTCGTATGCACCAATTTTAAACGGCTATTAGCATACAAACAGTTCGTACAACTTTCAACAAAAAATGAAAAATATTCTTATGAACAAACGGGTCGATAATAACTCTTTTTTGTTTACTAAAAAAAAAATTAGAAAACAAGCAGAGAAAATTATGAAACTTTCTAAAGAAAAGTTTTCTCAGCTTGAAATAGGTACAATTATACTTGTAACTATACCATACATTGATACAGCTCGTAGTTCTCCAAGAAATATAGGTACTTGTAGTTATCACCCAAGTTGAACATGACTTAAACAAACTCAGTAAGTTGATCCTTAATAAAAATATTTCTGTAAATTAAAATTAATTATTAAAAGTAATTATTATATTTATTTTATAGGTATTGAACATGGTAGTCTTAAATACAATTACACACTCCTAGAAATAGCTGCTTGCGTAGAAAAAATATTAGACATGAACAATGTGATCAAATTAGCAGATTATAGACAGTTGACACTGAGGGAAGCAGCTATAGTAATAAAACTGGTTGCATAAATAAACGTTGTGGTTGTAGTGGGGCTGAAAAGTTGTGTGACAGTAAATGTCATGGCAATAAAACTTGTAAAAATAAATAAATAATAATAATAATGCATTTCTCTATTTTTAAAAATACCTATGTACATAATTTTTCAAATCGTAGTATTTGAGACTCACTTGCATATCTGGTCTAGAACATTAATTACCTGTGTATTTATCAGTTAATATGGTTCTCCGGTTTATAATGATAATTACCTATATATTTGGTCAATAACGTTAATAACCGGCGAATAACGTTAATTTTCCATTTAACGTAATTTACCGAAGCATATACACAAACAGACTAAAAACCCAAAACCGTAAAACAAATATAAAACACAATTTTCAGACATATTTGTAGTTTAACGCTTAATCTGCAGTGATTCTCGAAGTAGTGATCCGCGTCACAATAATATAGTGTAGTGTATAGCCGTAGGACGTAGGTGTACCGAAAACGTGGTAATCTTAATGCTTATTCGCCACTCGTTTACCGGGATTTGTTTCGTAGTCAACATAGGTTATAGGCAGTCTTGTAAAGTATTCAAATACTCTTTTATTTTTTGATTACTATTTTCTATACTTTTTGGAAAAATTATTCGAATGCGTATTCTGAATATTTTTTTTTGTATTTTTTATTCATTAAACACTTCTTTTTTTAACTTGAAAAATTGTTAATGTATGTGACAAAACAAATTTTTCTATTAAATATCGGGCACATTATAAGTTAAGGACAATAGTTTTTCTCTTTGAATGAATAATGATTGACCCAAATTAATTTCCAACCATTCCAAAACAGATAAATATTAATAGGTTGATTGGGGAATTGAAATATATTTGAATACTTTTTGAGTACCTACATATTCGAATATGTATTCAGAATATATTTATTTTTTAATGTACATATTCGAATTATCCTTCTTAGTACCTATAATAATACGTATTCGGAGTACTTTAATACTTATTTATTCGAATACGTAATCTGAATTAAAAATAAAAGTATTATTTACAAGACTGGTTATAGGTAGCTATTAAGAATTATGATTGGCTCATAACAATTTCAAGTGCATAAGTACTTACTGTTGTGACAAGATTTAAATTTATATTGAAAAATCCAAATGCCGAAATTTGGTCTGAATCACATACAGATATTTGATTCATAAACATTTTGATCTAAATAATAAAACAATCAAAGAATAATTACAAAATAAAAAATAGTCTCACGTAGTTTTCTATATTATAAATAGATACTTGCTATTAATGGAAAATGTAAATATATTTTACCTGTCGTTTTTTGTCGAAGTGTAAATTTGAAATACGGTATAACCGTAGATATGATATCATCTGCAGTCTCTGTAAAAATGTTTTAAATATAATTGTTTTATGACTATAATAATATTATGTTTAGTTTTGTAATATTAATCTTTTCTTGAGTAATTGGTTTCATTTTAGAAAAAAATTTAGTTTTACCAAAGTAACTACCATAAGTTAAATTGCTTAATCATCATACCGATGATTTTTTTAATTGTAAATTTTATACTAAATCTAATATGGAATTTAAGTAGTAAATATTTTAAAATATGATATTTAAATATAGGTAAAACATAAAAATGTGGATATAAATAAAGGCAAGGTGAACAAAAATACGGATGTGAGCAGGTTGAATAACACTGTGAGTTACCTTCTCATTTATGAATGAAACAAAAACGATAATGGACATCAAAAACATTAGAATTTGTAAGTGGATAATCAGTGGTAATATATGTTCCCAAGAATTTGAGGATTGGCTGAAGAATGTTTCCTTATTAACAATATAATAAACACTGATAAGCAAACCGATATAGCTGGACGTGAAGAAACCCAAAAGTAATGGACCATAACTAAGACTTAACATTTTTAACAGTTCGCATAGTTCGGAGTGCAACAGCCTCGTGTTCTCCATCAAATCTACTATTTCGATGTGTGTCCATTGGCCGGGGATGGGAACTAAGTCAGCAGGAAGACATTTCCAAAAATCGTTTAACGTCTGGAATCTGACATTCAAGTTTTGAAGAAAGAAACACGAAGACATCGTAACTACATAATCCATAACATATGGTATAGTGAATATTGTATGGGTTGCCAATAATACTATGTTTTCTATCTGAACGGGCCAAAAATAAATATGTAAGAACTTATAAGCAATGAAGTATGCGCATAACAAAATAAAAATTGTTTCCCAACGTCTTTTTGTCCATGAACGATTTGGGGTCATCAAATTTGTTGAAAGTGGTGTGATTTTTTCATCAAACTCGATAATGCCATTAATAAATCTGAAAACAAAAATAATGCAAACCAATTAATGTTGTTTATTTATTATTACTAAAATATATAATTCTATTAACACATTTAATATGAGTGACTACCCTTATAATTTAAATTATAATACGTATAGGTAAGTCCAACAAAAATATTTTATATTTGTGTTTAATGCTACTGAATTCTAGTTAATTATAATAAACTAGCTGATCCCGTGCACTTCGTTTCCCGTTAAAATGTACCAACTCTATATGACTCAAACATTGTTCAATGCGTTATTTAATATTCGGTGTATGATGTTCTAGATTTATCTTAACTTTTCTGTTGCCCGTAATAAAAATTCTGAATTTCAGCAGTACATTATCAGATAGGTATAATTAACCTGCGGTAGATAGCGTACCCCGTGCTGTTTGTACGTAAGTGTATGATTTAACTCAAAAAGTACCAAAGTTATACCAAGTTTGACGTTTTTACTTAATTCCACATTTCCACCTACCTATAAATCCTAACCTAACCTAACCGTACTAAAATCCGATGAATACAAAAAAACCAAATTTAACCCTTTTTAAATTAGCGTATCTTCTTCCCATAGATCATTCATTTATATATAAGATATATTTACAAAAAATAATAATACAAATCAACAAACATGCCCGATTAACCAATAGCAACCAATATAATATAATACACCATAGAGAAATAAAGACAACGGTATCGAGTTCAAATCCCAGACATCAATAAATAGTTTTTGCAGTTTTTCTAATTATTCGGTTGACTTTTTAAAAATTTTCTTTCGTAAAAACCTTCACCTGGCAATTACGAACATCTTAAAAAAAATTTGAGCAAAATCGGCCCAGCCGTTCTCAACTGATGTAATTTCGAATTGTTTGTCTCCATTTTTATATATATAGATTATGTTTTAGTTTCATGATAATTTTAAAGTAATTAACTTCAAATGATTTAACACTCATATTCTGTGTGGTTAATGAATATTGTATTGGTTCATAAAAAAATGCTTTCATTTTCAGGATGTTTCCAATAAACAATTAAATCTAGTTAGGTCATGAAGTGTTTACAAATTACTATTCAAAATAATCGTGGAAAACTAAAACAAATTTCGGAAAATATTAATATTCATAAAACATTTTTTTTACATTATTTATTTATTTTTTATTTGTTTAATTCAAAATAGAATATTTATATATTTGTATATGGTGTGGTTTACTCTGTTGCCGCCCGAAATGCAGCAACATTATTGTTGATATGTGAGGCCGCTTATACCACCACCGACTCATGCACACACTAATGCAATCACATACCTGTTACCTGTTTGTTCCTATATATTTATATTATTGTTTTTATTTCTGTTTAATTGTCCGTATCAACTGTGAATTATTATATAATATTATGTAAATTATCGCCGCCGCCGCGCCGGCTGCGTATTTACTATTATATGACACGGCCACCGCAATCCAATCAGTGCGCTCACCGATGTCATCAAGACACAATATCATTAGCGAGAGTACCGGTCGCCGGTTCGATATTATATTGTTTTAAGTTCAGGCGCGAATCGCCAAGTTTGTAATATTCTTATGTAAGGCGCAAATCGTCTTACATATTAAACCGTACGTCCGTGCAAGTATTGTGTAGGCGCGAATCGCCACTGTGTTTTTTAAATTATTTGTCATTATTATTATTTGTCAGCGCAAGGTGTGCGTTTATTTATTATCATTATACAGTACAGGTAGCAGCTGGCCAGCGGCGCTCCGTCAAATTGTGAGTTTATTTTATACATTTATTATTATATTACAGCTCAAATAGCTAGTTATTTCTTATTATCAACTATTTGGCCATCTTTATATAGTTCTTAGCGGCTCAAATAGATTGTTAAAAAATATTATTATATTGTTTTTGCCTATTGGCTATAATTTTATTTATTTTGTATTATTTGAAAGCGTTTTATTATATCATATCAATAACATTGAATTTGTGTTGACATTATTTGCATACACACACATACACATACACACCTTACACACCGCACATTACCTAGCACTCATAGTATTTGCTCGGCGATCCCGTCCACTACTCTTGAGCTGCCATACACATATTGATACGCAACACAAACCGGTCGGTGTGTGAGTGTTCTTGCGCATGAAGTATTTCGGTGCCGGGCACACGAACTATCGTTGTTTCGGTCTCGGCCCAAACATTTGGTGACCTCGACGTGATATTAATATTAATTTACGGTACATCATTATTATTATTTGATTGCAAGTTCTAATCAGCTTGTCGTGCAGTACCTATACTTTTATTAAAATCGTTATATTATTATTTATCATATTATATTTTCTTGACCAATATTAGTGATATTTATAAAGAAGGGCCTCTTGTTATTATCATTTATTCGGCAGCGCTTACTATCATCGATTTCGTCTCAGATATCGTTATATACACTAGCGATTTGTTGATTTGTATCTGTTAGTATTGCTAGTCTGATCACAAGCCTTTGGGCAAACCTCATAACAAAATACTGCCGTGAGTCGTGGCTATCTCAGGCATAGCCAAAACTAATTATCTAACGTATAATTGAAATAGCTATGGACGAATCCCAGAAGAAGGTGTTAGGTGACCTGATTAGGAAGAGAGGGGTAATAAAGGCGTCTTTAACACGTATTCGTACATTTATTACCAAATTCAATCCGAGGGAGGATGCTATTACGCTATTAGAATTCAGGCAAGAAGAACTACCTAATATAAACAAAAAGTTTGATGAAATCCAATGTGAAATTGAACTTTTAAATTGTGATGATGAGGAAAACGCTAATCGTGAAAGAGCATCTTTTGAGAGTGAGTATTTTGCCATCCGGTCAGAAATGCAAGAAATCATTAATTCAGAGAAACGAGATACATCATCGATGATGCATAATGTATCAACAAGTTCCACTGTGCATAATCAAAGAGCTAGACTTGCTCCGATATCACTACCAAGTTTCGAAGGTGACATACTAGAATGGGAGTCTTTCTTTGACTATTATAAGGCAATGGTGCACTACGATGATGGATATCCTTCGGCCCAGAAGTTCTCATTTCTCAGATCATCTCTGAAGGGACAAGCATTAGACATTATTAAGGGCATACCTATTACCGATGCTAATTATAATGTGGCAATAAAAAAGCTACAAGAACGATACGACAACAAAAGTTTGGTGATCCAATCTCACATTCGCGCGATGCTTGATGCGCCACGGGTGGAGGCCTGCCAGGCAAAGGAATTGCAGAGCCTTTATTCAAGCATGTCCGCACACGTCGCAGCACTTGAAGCACTAGGCCAACCAGTCAACAGCTGGGATGCATGGCTTATAACAATTATCCTGAGAAAACTTGACCATGCAACCAGTCATGAATGGCAAGTGCGAAGAACCAACACAGAGTTACCGAAATACAGTGAGCTGCAGCAATTTCTGTCAAGCCGTTGTGTTGCATTGGAGAGTTTGGAAACACTCCGGAACAACAGCGATGAAGAAAAACGTAAACCAGAAACCAAGAGTTCCTATTTAAAAAGCAACGCTCACAATCACCCTAGAAAGGCTCTTTACACGGCTAATCATAACGTGAAGTGTGAATGCTGTGCAGGCGAACATCGGATATACGCATGTAGCAAGTTCAAAGAAATGCCAGTGGGAAGCCGTGTACAGAAGGTTCGAGAGGTAAAGTTGTGCTTCAACTGCTTTTCAAACATGCATATGGCGGATGCGTGCAAGTCAAAGTACAGCTGCCGCGTGTGTAATGGTAGACACAATACGCTACTACACTACGAAAAGCAAGAACCTCAAGCCACTGTGAATGAAGAAGCTACCATTGAAAAGGTAGACAATCCAAGCGCGAAGGTGTTTTGTGCAGCTCAAAGAGTTAATCATGTCTTCCTAGCAACCGCTATAGTCTCAGTGCTGGACCGTTATGGGGAAAAAAGACCATGTCGAGTAGTATTGGATAGCGGGTCGCAAATAAACTTTGTCTCGAGGAAAATGGCCAAGCTATTAAATCTTGCTCGCGAGAAAGTCGAACTACCAGTAACTGGAATAGGAGCTAACCGGATTCATTCATCTGCGTGCGTTACCATAGATGTATTGTCCAGAATAAAGGAATTTCAAGTTGCTCTAGTTTGTCACGTTCTACCTACCATTGTAGATGACCTTTCCCCTCATGCGAGTGGTAAAGCCGATTGGAATATACCAAAGGAATTAAACTCACAGCTGGCTGATCCATTGTTTCATTCATCGGGACCGATAGACATGCTGATAGGCGGTGGCGTCTTTTTCGACATACTGGAAACTAGGCGTATTCGTTTGGGCACAGGCTCGCTGTGTTTGCAAGATACCAAATTTGGTTGGGTCATTACCGGAGAGGTTGGAGCAATATGTCTGTTAAACGTTAAATCTGTCGGCCAGTCACTAGAAGATGGATGGATTGCCATAGAAAACAGCAAAGACGTTAATTCCAATGATTTGTCTAAAGCGAACAAAAGGAGTCTGGAAGAAAGGGAAGCAGCAAGACACTTTCAAGAAACTGCAAAACGCGACCAAGATGGTAGATTCGTGCTACGGTTACCATTAAAAGCCGAAGTTACGAATTTAGGAGATTCTCTGAGGATGGCAACATCAAGGTTTTTAAGCGTGGAACGTAGACTACAGCAGGATGAATCCTTGAGAGAAGCATATGTCAGCTTTATGAAGGAGTATGAAAGCGCAGGTCATATGCACGAGGTAAACAACAGTGAACCGGTAACCA